ATCCTGATCCTAGACTTGGTCTGTAGGTCCGTCCGTTCTGTAGCATCTGGAGAACCTGACCGTAGATCAGAGCTGCTCTGATGGGACCTTTTTCTTCTGATGGTATGTCCAGATGTTTCATCAAACGCCTCCATGTGTGAGCAGCAGCAGGTTCCATCAGATTCTCTCTACAGCCTGAAACCCGGTCCAGACAGCAGGTTCATGGGTCAGTGGAGCTGCTCATAGGTTTATAACCTGAAGGACATGAAGCTGCTCTGTCTGTTCTGGACCTTTACTGAGCCCTAACAGTGGTTCTGTGAGGAGGCTCAGAAGCCTCAGAGGGTTCAAGGTGAGGTGAACGCAGGTGTGACTCGTCTTCGTGAACAAGAAGTTCCAGAAGTCAGCGGCTGAGGAAACAACGACTGTCGAGGTTTGGAGGAACAAAACGTGAACCTGCTGAACAGCTACTGGAGCATTTCTACATTTGAAACTTGTGTCAAGCAGAACTTTTTCTGTTGCTTCATTCAGCCCAGACGTTGTGTTCCTTCAGTCTGCTCGTTATCTTCAGTAAACTCTGAACCAAATGTTTGCACGTCAGCAGGTCTTTGTCTGCTTCACAGTCTGACAGTTGAAACGTCTGCAGGAATGAAGGGAACAGAACTTGTTCCAGTTAATGATTAGCAGTGATTTCCCCACCGCGGCCTCAGAGACCCGCTGAGGCGGTTCTGTGGTTTGGGTCTGTGAGCAGCAGCTTTGCTCTAAATGTCCACATTTCTGTCATCATCAGACGTGTTTTGCAGCTCAGAGAACATCAACTTCTCACCTGTCTGCTGTCTTGCGTCATCGTGTTCGTCCTGTGGGCAGAAGCAGGTTCGGGTTCGGAGCAGGACCAGAACCCCTCCGCTGGGTCCAGCCTCATCGCCTGCAGCTCGTTTAAAGCTGTCGGTTCTGTGTCCAGGTCCTGTGCTCTCATCATATTTCCATAATTACAACTTCACCATGAAGCTACATTTACAACGAGGATGGAGATTTTTGACCCTCGCTGCTTCCCGTCCCCCCCCCCCGGGCTCCTCCGGGCCGGCAGGGGGCGCTCGAGCTTCCTGCTGCGCACCGAGACTCGTGTCCGTGTTTACAAGCGGAGCGTGACGTCCAGGACCCAGCAGAACCCGCTGGTTCGGAGAATCATGTCCCGGCTGGAGAGTCTGAAGGTGTTCCTGCAGGACCGACTGACGGCGGCCGCAGAGGAGATCCTCGGCGCGGTGGAGAGCCTCCTGGCCGAGTACCGGGACGAGCTGCTCCGCTCCGCCGAGCTGGAGATCAGCCGGCGGCTGCAGCTGCGGCTCCGAGCAGGTCGGTGCTTCCGCCTCCAGCTGCTTTGTTCCAGGTGCATGCATGTGGTCTGACGGTGCTGTGTTTGACTCAGAGCCCGGAGCGGACCGCTGTGGAGGAGCCCCGGTTCTGCAGGACCTCCAGCACCTCCAGCCTCCTGCTCCGGCTGCTGCCCCGGAGGAGGCGCCGTGTGAGGAGCAGCAGGACGGAGGCAGCAGCAGCGCGGAGCCGCCGGAGGCCTCCCAGGTGAAGAAGGAGCAGCAGAGGAGCAGCAGGGAGTTCTGGATGAACCCCGACACCGAGCAGCTCCAGGTTCTGGACTCGGACATAAAGAGCTTCATGTCTCCTGCGTCCAGCCTGAAGAACCTGCAGGAGGCCTCCAGCCTCCAGAACCTTCAGAACTTCCAGCTGAGCCACAGCGGGGACGAGGCCAGAGAGAAACCCTACAGCTGCTCGGTGTGCGAAAAACGCTTCAGCAACTGCTCTCACCTGGCCGCGCACATCAGGACGCACACAGGTGAGCGTCCGTACAGGTGTGACATCTGTAGGAAGAGCTTCATCACCACCAGCGCCCTGAACAGACACCAGACCATCCACACCGAGGGGAAGCACTTCGCCTGCAGCTGCTGCGGGAAGACCTTCAAGTGGATGGAGAGTCTGGGAAGACACATGAGGAGCGTGCACAAGAGCGACAACGTGCACGTGTGACTGTGGCGGGATCACACGTCCTCCTCAGCCTTTACAACACGTGGACTTCAAACACATGAATAAAGACACAAGCTGCTGTAAAATCCCCTGAAGGCAGCAGCTGAAGGGTTTGTGGCTCAGAGCTCCGTGTGAGTCCAGAGTCCAGATGAAACCCAGTCAGAACCAGAAAGAATGTACAATATGATGTTAAATGTGTCCGGACCTGATAAACTGTAAGAACTTTTTATAAACCAACGGTGGTGCATTTGTTCTCAGAATAAAATCTGAAATCTTCCAGCTTGGGTTTCATGGTGTCTGCTTTGTGCTGCAGGAGCAGAAGCAAAGCTCCAGCAGGTGGCGCTAGCAGCTGCAGCTTCATTTGAACTGAAGGTTCAGTAAGGTTCAGCTGACAGAGGAGGCTGAAGAGGTTTTATATCTTCTGCTCCGACCTCTTTATCATAAAATGTGGCGCCTGTGGAGTTTTCGGCTCATACGTCAAACTGTTTGTGAGCTCATCTGTTTTTACAGCACCGTGGTTCCTCCTCCAGAAGTTCTGCTGCTCTCATGGTTCTGAAACACTTCAAAAACTGTCGTATCTCCAGTCACCTCCAGGATTCTGATTTTGACTGTTTTAATCTTCAAAAACACTTTAAAGCTGACTTTTAAAGACTCTGGTTGATTTACAGGAACCAGTCAGACATGTTCCGGTCTGGTTCTAGAACCTGAGAGCCCAACGGTCGGAAACTACCAGAGTATGAACAGAACCTAGTGGAGAACAGGTAAATCTAAAACACTGGGCACTCAGAGCAACAAGCACCTCAGATGACTGGAGGCTTTAGCTGAGGCGTCAGCGGGCCGAACCTTTTGGACCTCAGCTCATTGTTGTACTCATCGGCCTCCATAATGGACCCGTCCGACACCAGGCAGATTTACAAACAATAAAACCTAAAATCAGTTCAGTATTTAACAGGCAGCAGTGACCTGAGTCCTGCAGCAGACAGACGGACCAGAACCAGAACCAGAGACTGACAGTGATCTAATGCAGAGATCACAGATGTCAGATTGGAAGAGGTTCCTGTCGGTGGTTCTGTCCAGCATCACATTGGTACTTATCTTCTACCACCTTTGATTTGTGCTGAGATGTGCGATTGGACGAAGACGTCTCGAAGAAATATGAAAAGAAATATCAACAAATGTAAAAAAGAAATATACAGAAAGTAATAAAATATAAGTGAAAAATATGTAAAATAACAGCAGTATCAAATATGTATAGAATCAATACTATTGATATAATTACATATATAATAAATCTATTTCTGAGTTGTAATGTTGTAAAATCTGTCAGATAAACGAAGGACAAACGGCGACAATATTTCCCCGAGATTTTATACAATGCAAGGAGAAGGTAGTAATCATGGAAGTACTCAAGTAAAATACCTCAAATTTATACTCAAGTACAGTACCTGGTAAATGTATTTAGCTCTAATTTGAGGAGCATGTTGAAGTGTTTGGGTTTTGGTTCCTCCTCTGTTGTTGGATTCAGACTGTCCTGGGGTTCAGTGAAAACTCTGAGTCCCTCATTTCAGGGTTAACGGACTCAAGAGTTTTCACTGAACCTGCTTGTGAAACGGACCTCAGGTTGGGTCAGACTTTAATGACAAACTGTTTAATTTACACAAACTGGAGGCACATGTTGAAGCAGAAACATCAGCCAGTAGCTCGTGTACTTCTGTATTCTCAGACCAGCGCCGTCCGTTGCTAACGACAGATTAATTCATATCATTTGTCTTCAGAAGTCCATCAGCCAGCCTGCTAGAACCATCCGTCCTCCATCCGCTAAGACAAACCTTCACTTCAGGTCCAAACATGTGAAGAGAAGCTGTAAAATCAGACCAAGTGTCTCTCATCCACAGTTTGTCCTGAATGATGAAGATCTAAGAATAAACCAGATGTGCCGTCGCCGAAGGCTCCAGGTTTGTGCTGTTGTGAGATTCTTTCCGTTGACACACTTCTCAAGGTCACTTTTACTGAAACAACCTACATACATACATGTACATGTCTGTGGTCATGAGGCCTTCAGCCACGTCAGTCGGAGGCTTGTGTTGTTCTGAGCTGCAGGTTTTCAGCTTCTGTTGAAGGATTAACGCATAAAAGTTTGAGATTCTGCAGCAGCAAATCTTTGGTTTTGCAGTGAGAAGAATTGTGGATGTGCAGGACGACTGCTGCTCTCTGGATCCTCAGATCCTGGTCCTCACCCACGGTTCCTCTGGAGAAACCCCCCAGGAGGAGGGGGGAGGCTGGACTCCTCCTCACTCCATGACTCCTCCAACCAGCTGAACATACCTCAGAAGGAAACAGGAAACGCCCAGTAGCAAAAAAAAAGATTATAATTTATTTCCAGATTTTTTGCCTTCGTTTGCATCTTGTTTCACAAGTCAAATCAAAAATAAAAACCGACTGCCATACCATGAAAATGTAAAAAAATAATACAAATAATATGTGCTGTATATATAATTATATCATCATCAACGAACAGACGACATTAATCAGAAGAACAATACTATTGATCGGAAACAGAACACTAAACTGCTGGTCTCATGCATATAGAACCCTCAGTACAAAAGAGGGGGTCGGTACTAAAAGAACCAAAGTTCCACCAGTTCAGAAGAAGCGCCTAAAGCTACATGCAATGACAGAAAAGACTCATGTACACATTCCTTCAAGTATTTTACACAAACTGTACTTCAAATCTAATGTACTGTACAGAGCACGATACAAAACGTCCTCAAGCCGCCGATGCTTCAGATCTGCTGAATTCTTCGTCCATCAGCTTCAGTTTGAGTCTTTGTTCTTCGTGGTTTCAGTGCTTTCGTTTCTGTGTTGGACCTCCTGCTTTAGTCCGTGCTGCCCCCTCACAGGGTCTTATCGCTCTCCTTCTTCAGGTGGCTGGAAGTCAAAGCAGACGTTAGACACGCTGCAAATGATATTCATGCTGTATTTATTGTAATCAATCGGCTGATGAGCAGCGCCGGTTCGACCTCTGACCTCCTGGTGCTCTGACAAAGGTTTTCTCGTTTAAAGTAAAGCAGGAGAACCAGCGGCTGCAGTTCTGTGATTTGGACGGTTTGAACCTTGTTCAGGAGAAGTTAAAGAACAAACCAGGACTGAACTCACATGCAGCTGAGGTCTGATCCAGAGAGTTCTGGTGTTCAAAGACAACTTCACAGACAGTAATAAGGTCAGTGGAGATGTCAGAAGGTGTGTTTAAGACACAACAGAACGTAGGAACGACTGCTGCTGCATGACAAAGTCAAGTCATGGAGCTTCACAGGATCAACCTGCAGCAGCTCAACTCTCAACAAACCACAGAAACACAAGCTGCTGCTGTTCTGATCAGGGTTTGATGAAGCTGTAAAGCCTGATCAGCTTGTCCCTGACATGAGAACACAGCTTCCAGCAGGTGAACTTGTTCCAGAATGATTTAGGGTGGATTAGTGGGTGGAAGGACTTGGTCTTACAGAGTTACAGGATCAAACTAGCAGCAACAGAGAACCTGTCTCATCACACATCGTATTTGTAGTGAAACATTTTGTACAAATGATTTATTTTTGCACCCAAAGACTTTCTCTGCTCACAGTGTTGATGCTAAAATGACATCAAGTGCAGCCCTATTTTGAAACGTTTAAATCAAAGGTTCTTGGATGTTATAATTTTCTGCTTCTCCTTGTTGCAGCCGGACAGCGTACTGAGCAGCGTGTACCTGTAGTACTCGTCCTGGGTGAGGGAGTGGTGGTGGTGGTGGATCCACTGCTGTTCCAGGGCCAGTCTCTGGATCTGCAGCTCTGCGCTCTGGGCCTGCTGCATGGCCTGCAGCTGGTGGGCGGCTGACATGGGCCCGCTGAGGGAGGACGTCTGGGGCAGGTCACGGAACGGAGCACCTGCAGGAGGAGGAGCAGCGTCAGTCACCTCCGTCACGCCGCAAAGCAGAGAGTCAGAGTGTGAGAGAAGAAAAGTGTGGTAGTACATGGACGAGGAGCCTTCTCCTCACCGAACAGCTGCTGGCGGAGCACCTCGCTGTCAGTGAGGGGGTGAGCCAGGATGGGGGTGCCGAGCGTGGCCCCGGGGTAGGGGAGGCGAGCCAAAGGAGACCCCGACGCCAACGGGTCCATCAGGGGGTGAACCCCGCCCGCCGCTGGATGCCAGTGATGTAATAGGAAATACAGGAGATATTTAATAAGAGTCAAAGTCTGGAGACGCTTTAATGCTGCTGTGAAATACATTTTATTAAATAAAAAAGTAAACAGTTATTCCACCTCAGATCACCAGGGAACACTTTGATCATAAACTCTGGATATTTAAGAGGATATCTGGGACATTTTAGGTTCATATTTCAAACACTTTGAGTTTTTTTGGGTTTTTTTAAGCCACTTATCTCACATTGAAATTTGGGGCTGTTTGAACAGCATCAAAGATAAAAACATGAAACCTTTGACTGTTATTTCTCATCATGTCATTGATTCAGAATCTGTAATATTGGATGAAGTAGATCAAATAGTCTCTGATTGTGGCTGAGTTGAAATATGCAAAAAATGTAGAGTTCAATGGCGAGCTGAAGCTGGAGGCGAAGGATGAGGCTGGTGCTGCCATCCTAAACAAACATGGAACTTGTCATTTAAGAAAGGATCTGTTTCTCTACAATCATCTGCATTTGTGTTGGACTATTTTTAGGTGCTGATGAAGACACATTTGATGCGTCAGTCCTGTGGTCTCCAGATGTTCCCTAAACGCCTCGCAGTCATCAGCAGATGCTGCAGGTCACAGACTTTGTGCTTCTTTCTGCAGCCAAATCTTCTCTTTCTGAGTTTCTCTGCTGCTCAACAAACTGTTGTAAATAAAGTTATTAAACTCATCGAAGCCAAGAGGCCCTCAATCTGAGTACATGGTGTTCTATCACACCAATTCTCTTCATGGAAAATACTGTGGGACTGTGAGTTTTCTTTTCTTTTCTTCTGATGTTTGTGAGATAATTAGTCACCAGTGTTGCAGCGTTCAGGTTTCTTTTAAAGGAGCCTGTGCTGTGTGGAAACTGACCAGCCTCATCCTTCAGGTCTTTACTGAACAGATCATAACTTAACCTGGGTTAGGGTTAGTTTAATCCATGTCTGTGAACTCAGCAGCTGTTACACTATGTGTGCTCTGCAGGTAGAGGCAGCAGTGTTAGTAGCAGTGGGTACCTGTGTCTTGCTGGTGCAGGTGCAGATGTGAGTGGATGTGTGAGTGCTGGTGATGATGCGGCGTCACGTTCAACATCTGGAGACGGCCTAGGTTCTCTCCTGCCCCTCCCGCCCCTCCTGTCCCGCCTCCGCTGCCCGCTCCTGCCCCGTTGCCTCCCCCGCTGCCTCCTCGCTCTCGTTCCCGTTCTCGTTCTCTTTCTCGCTCTGTGAATGGTGGCAGCGCTGCCCGGTCCCGGTCTCGGTCTCGGTCTCGGTCCCGGTCTCTGTCCCGGTCCCTGTCCCGGTCCCGGTCTCTGTCCCGGTCCCGGTCTCTGTCCCTGTCTCTGTCTCTGTCTCTGTCCCTGTCCCTGTCCCTGTCTCGGTCCCGGTCTCGATCGGCACTCCGCTCACGCTCGTATGAGGTGGGAGAGCGAGTTGGGGTGGGGTAGTTCTCAGGGGGGGCGGCCGG